GCGGGAAGCCTGCTTCTCCCTCTCCCACTCCCCCTGCTTGTGTTCCCTCTCTCACTGTGTCTCTCTCTGTCAAATAAATAAAATCTTAAAAAAAAAAGAAGAAGAATAGGAAACTATTAGCAAATGGCAAAATTGCATTCCAGAGTACAAGTTGGGAGTGGCAGGAAGAAACAAGAAGGGCTTTGACCAGATTGAAGATAGAAAAAGTATAGGCATATGAAAGGATGCTGATGAACAAAAAGAAGAGGGTCAAGGGATTTAAAAAGAAAACTTTTATAGCAACAAGACTCCCATATATTTTAAATTATTTTATCTAGATTATTTTAAATGAGCACCCCTCCCCAAAATAGACCTTTAATCAAAATCAAATTACCTTTATACCTAAATACTATCTCCACAATCCTGCCCCTGCTGTTCATCCTCTCTTGACTCTACAGGTCCTTCTAATCTCTAACCTAGAACCCTTTCTTTCTTTTTTTTAAGATTTTATTTATTTGACAGAGACACAGCAAAGAGAGGGAACTCTTTCAAAAGACAAAAATTCTAACAAGTTCCCAAGTGCTAGAAAAATACTGATTCAAGAAACTAATGTCTTTATTTTATATGTACCTTTTACTTGTGAATTAAAACTGGAAAATTAAAATTTGAGCTCCATAATTAATAAAAAAGAAAAAGGAAATTTTGATCAAAATGAATAGTTTTAAAGATCTTACAAAGAACTCTCAGCCCTTTGCCCATCTCACACCTAGTAACTCCAGCTTAATAAAAAGACCTAGGGAGAGGTGAATCTTTCAGACTAGTCTTTCTTCCTGTCATAACCTCCTTGCTCCAATCCATAGTGCATACTGCTGTCAAGAAATACCTTGTGGGGTACCTTCGTGGCTCAGTCAGTTAAGCATCTGACTCTGGTCAGGATTCTCAGGGTCGTGAGAGCGAGCCCTGAGTTGGCCTCCAGGCTGGGTGTGAAGCCTGCTTAAGATTCTCCCTTTCCCTCTTGCCCCTCCGCCCCACCCCACTCCACACCACCGCTCAAATAAAATTTTTAATAAAATAAAATAAAACAAGAAATACACCTCCTGTGTTTCCTGATTATATTAATAGATGATAAAGGCCTGAGAGAGACCCTCTAAAATCTGTCTCTAATTATTCTTACTGTTCTTATAACTTACACATGCCACGTTTTAAAATTTTTAATATGCTTCAAATTCAAGACACAAAGGATATACAATGAAAAGGCTCTCTCCTACTCCTGGTCCTTCAGCCATCTAATTCCTTACCCAGAAGGCAACCAATGTTAGCAGTTTATATACTATCCATACTGCTTATACAATGTGTCCTGGTGCCTTCCCACCTTCACAAATGCTGTTCTTTATTCCTGCAGTTTTCTTGTTTCTGCACTTCATGAACTATATATATGTGCCCTCTAATTAACCACTTTTCTGCAGCCTTGGACTACTGAAAATGAACTTGGATGCTCTCTTCTATGAAGACCCTCATATGCACTCTTATAGTGAAATTATCATTTAGCACATTATATGTATTTTTTATTGTTATGTTAATCACCATACATTACATCATTAGTTTTTGATGCAGTGTTCCATGATTCATTGTTTGCGTATAACACCCAGTGCTCCATGCAGTACGTGCCCTCTTTAATCCCCATCACCAGGCTAAACCATCCCCCCACCCCCTCTCCTCTAGAATCCTCAATTTCTTTCTCAGAGTCCATAGTCTCTCATGGTTCATCTCCCCCTCCGATTTCCCCCCCTTCATTCTTCCCTTCCCGCTCTCTTCTTCTTTTTTTTTAAACATATAATGTATTATTTGTTTCAGAGGTACAGGTCTGTGATTCAACAGTCTTACACAATTCACAGCGCTCACCATAGCACATACCCTCTCCAATGTCTATCACCCAGCACATTATATTTTAACTGTCCATGGCATTCCTGTCTCCCCCATTGTATTATAAAAGACATAAAAATTACAAAGACATAAAGGCAAAGGTCTGATTCATCTCTAATTCCCTCTCACCCATACCCAGTATCTAGAATATACCTGACAGAGTTATTCAATAAACTATTTGCTAAGCAAACATCACACTTAATAACAAAAGTATGATGCATATTTTCCAATATCAACATTTTCTTTCAGACAACAACTGTTAGGTCACATATCTGAGCACAGCCAAATAAATTACTGAATGGGAGAAAACAACACAGATGTTTCTTCTCCAATTTTACAATCTGCCTAAAACTGTTTGCTACCAAACAAAAGCTTTGCCTTGCTATCATAATAAAGCAAGAGCTTTAAAAGATAATGTGTATTTTTCCTGGTAGGTTTGTGAGATGTTCAGTTAACTCTGAACAAGCAAATTTTGGAAAACCAAAGGTAGAAAATGAATACTCAAACAATTTTTTTTGTATTTTTTAAATATTTTATTTATTTGTTTGAGAGAGAAAGAGAGAGAACGAATGGTGGGTAGAGGGACGGGGAGGGGGGGAGAGAGAGAGAGAGAGGATCAAACTCCCTGCTGAGCAGGAAGCCCAACACAGGGGCTCTGATCCCAGGACCCTGGGATCACCACCTGAGGTGAAGGCAGACAGTTAACAAACTGAGCCACCCAGGCGCCCCTACTCAAACAATTTTATTTTATTTTATTTATTTATTTTTAAGATTTTATTTATTTATTTGACAGAGAAAGACACAGCGAGAGAGGGAACACAAGCAGAGGGGGTGGGAGAGGGAGAAGCAGGCTTCCCGCGGAGCAGGGAGCCTGATGCGGGGCTCGATCCCAGGACCCTGGGACCACGACCTGAGCCGAAGGCAGACGCTTAACGACTGAGTCACCCAGGCGCCCCCCTACTCAAACAATTTTAAATTCAACACTTCATTTTTACATATAGGTTCAAATTCCTGTCCCACCTTTAATTTTTTAAAATGGAGAATAAAGTTGAGTGTTTCAACTACCTTTCATTTCCTCTAAAATTTGGAGAAAGAATATGCAAATTAGCAATTAAAAAAAAGTGTCAAGAAGGAGAAAACCCAACGACTATGTCATCTCAAATGCTGGACATCAATCTGCAAACAATTAGAAAGCTTACTATAAAATATAACTAAAAATAAACAATTCATGTAAAATATATTTAGATATATATTCATTAAAAACCACTGGTTCTTAATAGAATTACTGTTATTCAGAAATCTCACTATACTTCATAATGACTCATTTCTATAGACAGGTTTTAACTATTTCTAAAATAACACGACCTGGTGTGCACAACAAAAGGTCTAAGAATCAAATATAAATACTGAAGTTAATTAACACAGCTTTTCACATCATAAAAAAATAAAAGTCTACTGAAAATGTGTATCAGAAACTCTGGCTGCTGTAATTATTACTGTACTGACAAATTATTAACAGTAATGGAAGTGTAAAACCTCAAAAAGGGAATCTAAATCAAAATAACTAAATACAAGCCACTCGACAAAAAAAAAAAAAAAGGCCAAATAGCTCTTTTGCACTAGCTAATTTTCTGTCTTTCCAGTTAACTTTATGAGGCAAGAAATGGATCTCTGAGTCCGTACGCTTTGTTCTCAACACTAAGCAATTTCCACTACTGCAGATACTAAAATAGCTTCAATAATTGTGGACAATCTCAAAATAAATGCGAATTAGTTCTGTATTGTTCCAGATAATTTTGTTTTAATCAAACTCTTCAACGCAATACAAAACTAAAGTGATCTACTTCAACCTGTTGAGAGTTTCCCAATTATTAAACCACAGAAAAATTAAAGATTATAAGGGCTCTATTTTCAGTTAAAAAAAAAAAAACTAAACTAAAAGTCCATACTTAACTAGCATAGTCTCTGATAAACATAAACCAGGATATGTGCTTAGAAACTGAGACAACAGTAACACGTTAAAATCTCCTTCAATAGTATTTGATACCAAGTTTTTCCACTCCCTTATAAGCATTTTTTGCTTATTGATGCAAAACCAAGATAAGGATCTCAAAACAAATGAAAACTAAACTAGAATTTTGCCCATGGGGAAAAGATGTTCTTCAGCAATCTAAACCTTAGGTAGTTTTAGGATCTAAATAATAGCATTAACCAAGTAATATGCTCCTCCATAACGACCCGTACACAGAGGCAATCACGATCTGCATTCTTCACCTTAAAAAAAAAATCTGCTATGGTTTTAAAAGTATACTTAAAATGCGTTTCATCAGTAATATATTATAGTACATATGCTTTTTATGGTAGGGAGTTACCATTATAACAAGTATTCCATAATTGGGAGATGCGTTTAGAAATAAAAGAATCATTCAGGAGAAATTTCTTTGGACAGTTGTGTAATTTATCACCACAGCTGGTCATGAATGAAATGATAGATTCTACTATGTTGACCTGAGGAAGCAACTGTGATTGAAAATACTCAAAAGGGGGAACTGAAGAGGTGGGGGGCAGAGCGCGAGTATGCGCGCCAGGAAGGCCGGGTCTCTCGTAAATTGCAAACAGTGAGAAAACAAAACCACTATGAAATAGATTTTATATCCAACTGCTAAGAGACGACATGCATAAACACAGGCTTGTATGTACATGCATGGACCCATAACCTACAAAACCGGAGGCTCCGCCAACTTTACAGGAAGAAAACTCAATAGTTTTCCATTTAATTACTTAATCAGGTTTAACCTTTCACACAGCAGTAAAACCCTGGAGTCGCAAAGGCAGTCTTGGGATCTAGCCATTACACCCTCTGCAGAAGCTCAGACCCTTTCTAGAAAGGCGAAAGCTGACGTGCAAATCACTGCGCGGGATGGTGAGAATTTAGGCGCGTGGAAAGCAAAGGAGGGTCCAGGGGCACCTGTTAAAGACAAGAACGCAGGGAAAATGTGGTTTGGGTTTAGGGAGAGCGTCTGAAGTTGCGTCTCTAGGAATGGGGGGTGGGGGTGGGCCCGTGCAGTCAAAAGAATCTGTACCTGGGATTTGGGACCGGGAAGGGGGAGGAGGGACAAGGGAGGAACTACGAGGGGGGCCGGGAGGATGCTTCAGGTAACCAGACACCCCACTGTTGAGAGGACACAAAGAGGAGAGGGGGAGGGGGGAGGGGGGGTTTGCAGTGTCTTCCGGAGCGAAAAAAACAGAGACGAGGTTGGCATAGGGGGCCAGAAAGGAGCGGGAGCCAAAGTGGGGAGAAACCTGCAGGAGGGGCCCGAGTCTCGGAGCGCCCAGGTGAGAGACAGCCGAACCTCACCTGATACTCCGGGTACTCAAACATATAGCTCATACTGCACTTGTTCTCCTCGAAGCCGAAGAAGACGTCCCACAGCCCCAGGGTCGCCATGAAAACCATAAGGGCATAAAACGCCAGGTTCCAGAGACTGACTGACTGAAGAAACATGGTGCCCCCGCCGGCGCGCGGCCCCAAGTCCTGACTGAATCAGCCGAAGAACGCCTAGCGGCCAGCGCCAGAACCAAGCCAGAGCAGCGCGCGCCTGCGCAGACGCCCAGCCTGCCCGCGTGCCCGCCGCGCAGTGCGCCTGCGCGCAGTCGGCCTGCTGCGCCTCCCGCTTGGCGTCTAGATGAGAGAAGAGGCGGCGTTTGCAGTGGGAGCGCGAATCTGAGGGAAAAGAGAAAGGGAGAAAGCGGGGTGGGCCGCGCGAGAGATCGAGGGGGGAAAAGGGAGGGGGCGAGGAGAAGGAAAAGAAGGAAGGGGGTAGGGAAAGGCTGTGAAAGGCAGGCGGAGGGAAAGAAGAGGAGGGCGCGGGAGCCTTGGAGGCGAGGGGAGGGAAGGGGTGGGGGAGGATGGGTGGGGGGTGGGTTAACCTGGAGAGGGAGAGGCGATTACTGGTGGGGAGCTGACCCAGCGCGAGAGGGAGGCCATCCGCGCTTGGGGCTATCCGCTGTCACGTCGCAAACATCTCTCCTTGCGCGTTTAAAAACCCTTCCCGTTCATTTTCGAAATGCCTCAGGCCTCTGCAATTTCGTTTCTGCTAGCAGTAATAGAGCACATCCACAGCCCTCTGGGCCAGTTAGCTTGAAGAGGGAACAAATGGTTTTTTTCTTCCTCTTTGACCGCAGACGTTGCCCCATAGGTAACAGCGCTTAAAAGCACCGGCACATAAAAAAAAAATCACTAGCAGGTCGGCAACATTCAGTTCCTGGTGTAAGATGAAAGCCTGAATCACAAAAAGCATTGCTAGTCTTTAAAAAACTATATTAAAATTTCCATTAACACTGACGCTTCCAACAGTTATCTGGGTGACCAGTTTGACGCTGTCCGGTCTTGCTCTCCAGAATACCTCCTCGGAAACTGGTTCCATATTAATGTGAGGAGGCAAATTTCGCTCGAGCTTCCACTCAGACTCCCAAGTGACTTAATTCATTTAGAAGAATTTCGGTTTGGTTTTGCACAAAGGAGAGGAGAAAAAGCAGTTCAAGCGACTTCAAAACCCTGGCATGTTATGAGAAGAAAGACAGTGTATCATTCTTTAAAGCTGACCCAAGAGCAGATGGGGTGTGTGTGTGACTAATTGCAAAATTTTCCTTAGAATTACTTTTCTCACTGACTAAATTTCATTTCACTTCATTTCAGTTTTACTGATTTTCATGTGTTTTTTTCTATGGAGAGGATGTTTGGCTATGATAAAATCAAAGAATTTTAAAACTGAAAGGAAGCTTATGGTTTCCTGTGCAAACCCGTGATATTCAGATATAAGAGCACCTGGGGTGTGGGATGGAACTAGGGACAAGTTAGTGTGCAGGATGACAAATCATTTGGAAAAGGATTTAAGTTATACATTAAAAAGGTAATAAATTCATTGAGTCTGGGAGCTCAGAATGTCTGCCTGTTGCTTCTCCTAGCATATCATGACCAACACACATAAACCAAGGGTGAATCTACACTCTTATCTCAGTGCTTCTTAAATTTAATATGATAAGAATCACTTGCAGATTCTGTTAAGAAGCAGATTCTGATTCAGTATTTCTGGAGTGGGGCTTCAGATGCTGCATTTCTAACAAGCTTCTAGGTGATGCCAGTGACGCTGGTCAGTAGACTAAACTGCTACATGGAGAAAACCCTGAACTTGAAGATGACAGAACTTACTCTTCTGGTGGCCTTCATGAGTTGTGGCAAACTGCTGCCTCAGAAAGGAGTGGGATAGTCAATGGACTTTGTATGTTTGAATCTTTCTATTTCTACTTTTTTACTTTCTTTTTACATACCCATCATTATCCCCCTCCTGGCTTCACTTCCTTTCATATCTAACCTAACCCTAGTGAGCATCACTTAACCACCCTCTGCCAGTGCTGTCAACTTCCTGAACTCTTGTCTTTCCATCCTAGTCTGCTTACAGACTTTCAACCATGGGTCAATATAGTCTGTCTCTGAGCTCTGACACCAGTATATCTGAGCACTGCTGGAGAAAATGACACAATCATTTGAATTACTGTTTAGAAATACTTTTATATGTTTCTGGTCAACTTCCTCTCCTAGTCTTCAAACCACCACTTTTTAAGCTCCTTGCACCATCTCTTCTCTTTTAGCAAATTATTAGTACATAATTGTATCTTCATAAAGATCATTTTGATTTTCAGATGAACATTCTTCAACTCTTCATTCTCAAGTTCATTATCTTCATCCAGTTCAGTTAACACATCTAAAATGCTTGGAACAGGGATGCCTGGGTGGCTCAGTTGGTTAAGCGTCTGCCTTCGGTTCAGGTCATGATCCCAGGGTGCTGGGAGGGACGCCTGCATCAGGCTTCCTGTTCAGCAGGGAATCCGCTTCTCCCTCTCCCTCTGACCCTTCCCCTGCTCTCTTGCTCTCTCTCAAATGAATAAATAAAATGTTAAAAAAAAATAAAAATAAAAAATAAATAAAATGCTTGGAACAATACCTGGCATGGTACTTTGCTGTCCTTAGAAGATATCAAAAGCAAATCCCTTTAGTTGTGTTTTAGTTCCCATCCTCTGCTCCTTTTTCTTCAGGAAATTAGTTCTATCAAGTTAAAGTCTCTGTCAGTCTTTCCCAGCCTATCCTCCCTCTCCCAAAGCATGTAAATATGCTTAAATCTCATTAATTTCAAAAAAGAAAAATCCTCCCTGCAACTATCACCTGTAGCTCTTGCCTTATTTCAGTCAAGGTTCCTACTTATATCCAATTCCTCACCTCCCATCCATGCCTCAATACGCCATAATTTTTGTCTCCCTCACCATCACTCCAAGGCAACTGCTCTTGCAAAGGTAACTACTGACCTAATTACCAAATCCAAATGACACTTTTCAGTCATACTTGATCTTTCTGCCACTTACTTAAAACATTGTTCTCTGTTGTCTTAACACTATTTTCCACTGGGTTTTCTCCTACTCACCTGGCCTCTCATTCTTTATCCCGTGTGATCTAGTTCACCCAATTCATGGTCTTAAATGTTTATTTATCCTATACACTTGAGAAGTGTCTTATTTCAATTATTATGTTTTTTATGTCTAAAATTTCTATTTTTTTATTCAAATTCATCTGTCCTTTTTATCTCATAATGTTTTACTCTTACCTTATGGAATTCATTTGTATTTTTAAAATCTCTTTAAACATATTTTAAACATCTTCCTTCCCCTTCCCCTGCTCTCTTGCTCTCTCTCAAATGAATAAATCAAATGTTAAAAAAAGGGTCATCTTCCTGACCCTTCCCCTGCTCTCTTGCTCTCTCTCTCAAATGAATAACAACTAAGCCACCAAGGCATCCCCCAAAATACATTTTTAAGTGGATAAAGAAGAGCTAGTAAAGAATGATCTTAGGGGCGCCTAAGTTGGTGGCTCATCCAACTTTTGATTTTGACTCAGGTCGTGATCTCAGGGTTGTGAGATCAAGCCGCACATCAGACTCCACAATGGGTGTGGAGCTTGCTTAATACTTTCTCTCTCCCTCTCCCTCTGCCCTTTCCCTACTCCGAGGGAAAAAAAAAAAAAAAGAATGATCTTAAATGAAGAGGAGAAGGAGAAATATACCTTAAGAAGAAGAAAATATGAAGAAACATGAGAAGAAAGAAAATACTGAGATTGAGAGGATTAAGATGAGGAAACTCTCACTGGATGATCTTAATCTTCAGGTAGGAACAAAACCCACTGGGTGGAAATAAGGGATTGGAGCGAGGTGATGCTTAAAGAGGGTGGAAATACTTGGGAATTACTGTTTTAAGAAATGAACTTGGCATGGGGTACTGGGTAGCTCAGTTGGTTCTTGGTTTCAGCTCAGGTCATTGTCTTGTGGTCATGGGACCGGGCTCTGTGTGGCATCTGCTTGTCTGTCCCTCTGCTCCTCCCCCTCCTCTCTCGCTCTCTGAAATAAATAAATTTTAAAAATCTTAAAAAGAACTGACCTTGGCAGTCAGCAAGAGGTGATCAATAGTGAGGACCTAGTTAACAGTGTTTCACACTCCTGCTCTCCAATTTTCCTGGTCTTCTCAGCTAACATAGATCTCTTGCTTTCCTGTGTCTCTCTTATCAAGGGAAAAATAAAAATAGATATTATGTAGTGATGAGACATTTATTTGACTATATGTGCCAAGCTCCACAACAGAGATTAGGAAAAAGAGTTAAATGAGACCACTGAATCTGATTAGTAAGAGATAAATGAGTCACTGATATCAAGGAGTCTAAAAGTAAGTACATAATATAATTGTACTATAGTATGGTAAGTGTTACAGAGATATGAACACATTAGAGGGCAAAAGAAGAACTATTTAACTGTTTAGGGGGAAAAGTATCCCAGACAAAAATGATTTATATACATAATATAATAGGGGCTCAAAGAGTACTCATTGAATTACTGAGTGATTGAGTTAATAGATGGCTAAATGCTGTGATTAGAAGAATTAAGAAGGTGGGCTTCCCACAATTCAAAGTCCCAAAATAAGGGGCTTTTTGATCATTCTAATAAAGTCTACTTCTGACACTTTCTGAAAGGCATATAGCTTCATAGTTCACTCAGAACTTAAATGTAACTGTTAAGGTCACATTTGTTGGTTCTTTCATTTGGATATATGTTCATATAGAATTTTTATTTCTTATGGTGGGTATCTTGTGTTTAAACAATAGATGAGTTGCTAAGAATTATGTAAAATTAAAATATTTGCAAAATGAAACCTCAGTGAATTTTATTATTAATAAAGCACTAAAGAACACTGGTAATCAAGAAATCTCAGTTCTAGAACTTCCAGTTCTGCCACCCAGGTATGATTTAGGGCAAGTGTCTCCATCTCCTTAGGCCTCAGTTTTTTCATATGTAAAATGAAGGTATTTGACAATTGATTTCTGAAAGTTTATGATATTTTAATTGAATTAAGTCTTTAAAAACTTAAATTAATGCAAACTTTCATAAAGGAAGAGACCATATTATAATCATTTGACAGTCACCCCTCAACTGAATATTTAGTAAATTCATTAATACA